TGCATTAATGGCTGTTATGTTAAATAAAGTTTACTAACTATAGCAACTATATCAAGTACCTGCACGCCGTTGTTGTTGTCTCGTCTCCCCTCAGACGCGCTGCAATGGCGATCCTGCGTGCAATTCTCAAAACGCCCACAAGATGGCAGTGTTTATCGGTGAATCCGATATTACAAAACCGATATCCGATTATGGTAAAATGCTTAAATATCGGGAAAAAAATATCGGGAAATCGATATATCGGTCGATCTCTAGTATGTATGCATGTATGTACCAAGAGCTTCTTAAAAACCACAACAAATTCCTTGTGTGTTTGCGCATACTTGGCAAATAAAGCTGATTCTGATTCTGATAAAAACTCGTTCTTTCCCAGCGTTTGTGCTCAATGTCTCTTCAGCACCAGTTTTTGTGTATTCATTATTTTTGTTTTTTTCTTGTTTTTTTCCCCCCCTGAGACAGCTGGTGTGTAACAGTGGTGTTACTGGTATATTTTAAGTTGTTACATTTTGAAAAAGTCATTTTCTGCCTAACAACAACAACAACAGCCAAAGGGGCTGCTGATGAAAATAAACCCTTTGGCTAAAATGCCTCTTATTTGACTGTTGATTAAGGTACATGGATTCTACAGAAATAAATAAAACATAAAAAATGCTTTATTTTTAAATAATTTATATATATTTTACATATTCATGAATTAATAATTTTTTAATGATTTAGATTTTTTTATTTTAATTTGACATTTTTATGATTTAATTAATTATTTAATTGTTTTTATTTTTAAATTGATTTTAATCTTAATAATACAAAAACCAATGGAAAAATCCTATTGGGTTTTTGTTAAGGGAAATTTTGTCTACATCATCACTGCAGGACTTTAGACATAACCTCCAGTAACCTAAAACAATAACTGGTTAATATTACCCAACTAATATTGGTAATACTGGTTAACCAAAAGCCTGCACGGCCTCAGTGATGTCAGCTGAGAAGGGAAGTAATATCAGACGTTTGAGAGCGTTTATAACAGACGAACATGACTGATGATCACACACCTGTAGTGTGCAGGACAATCGGAGCCGTCGGCTTCCTGCGGTTCCTCCGGAGGCATAATGAACACTGTGTGCTCACCGCTGTGACACTCGTCCCGATACGGTCGCTGACGAACGAACACTCCTCGATGAACTGCGTGAACATCTGCGTCCTCGTGAGCTGCGTGTAAAACTTCTGCTGCGCTCGATCGCGAGACTTCAGGAACCCTGAGAAACACAGAGAGAAAACCATCCACCGTCACATCTGCTGAATGAAACTACTACTGAGCTACCGATGACAGAAACAGTGTCTGTGTCACACTTTCTCACTAAATATGATGCATTCAGTAAAATTATTGCTTTTGAGAATCATTTGTGTGGTGATTAGTCTTGCATTCTCCCTTAAACAGCAGAAAAACACCAGAAACACATGATTCCTGTCTGAATCTGAGCCAGATTACAATCATCTGATCAGTTCTCAGCCCATTTTCACATGTTTGACATTTTATTTCTAATCCTGATTTCAAGGTCAGAATTATGATCCAGAGACAGAAGAAAATGCAGACATGTTTTCTGATTTTACTGCATCCAAACAGACACAGAAAATCTCAGATTTTGTGTTCATGTATTAAATGACGTATTTGAATATATTTTTTATTGTAAGTTAAATGATTCATTTTGAATACTTTTTGCCATTAAAACCAAAACTTTTGACATTTGACAGCTTTTGTTATCTTGATAAGTGCATTAAAGCTGATTCGATTTAAATAATTTAATTAAATAATGTATAATTTGAAAAATCTTAATTCAGAAAAAACTACACGATTGAAAGCTTTTATTGATATTTCTGAATATTGAAAGGTTCTGATTAGTAAAATCCTTATCCAGTAATCACAAATTAATTGCATTTAATTATTTTCACCTGCTGACCAGTTATTGTAGCATCACTGAGATACTATTATAGTTTTCACTATTATTTTGAATTAGTTTTTATTTTATATTTATTTTTGTTATTTCATTTCATTTTAAATTTTAACGTTTTAGTAGTTTTGTCACTTTTATTAGTTTCTTTTATTAATATGTCTATATAATTTGTATTAATTTTTTATTTTAGTCTTAGCTATTTCGTTTTTATGGATGCTTGGTAACTGCGACTTTTTATCTCACAATTCAGACTTTTTTTTTCTCAGAATTATTTCTCAGAGAATTATAAGTTGCAATTCTGAGAAATAAAGTCACTTTATAACACGCAACTGCAAGTTTAGATCTCGCAACTCGCGACTTTATAACTCGCAATTACGCAAAAAAAAAAAGTCGCAATTAAGTTTTTGTTTATTCAGTGGTGGAAATGGACTTCCGTAGGTTTTGGTTGGTTCGTTAAGTTAAACCAAACAAAAATGTTGTCTTGGCAACTAGCTGAAGTACTGATATTTACGGAAGCCCGTTTTCGCCACTGAATAAAAAATAAAAAATGTTATTGCGACTTTTTATCTCATAATTCTGACTTTTTTTCTCAGAATTGCGTGAAATAAACTCGCAATTGCGTGATAAAAAAAAGTCCGAATTGTGAGTTTATATCACGCAATTCTGTGAAAAAAAGTCAGAATTATGAGATACAAAGTCGCAATAACCTTTTTTTTTATTCAGTGGCGGAAACGGGCTTCCATAGATATTTCTGAGCTCAGCATCATCAGATGTTTTCTGTGTCAGTCAGCAGTGAGGTTGCTGTTAGCGCACCCTGCAGGTGGAAGAGCGAGCTGCAGTCCGTGGTTCGGTCGGAGGGCGCTTGTGTGATGGGCAGCAGGAAGGATCGGTATCCTCTCAGCAAACAGCTCATGAAGCGCAGGAACGCCTCCTGGATCTCCAGCTCCAGCTGCTTCTGACGGCCGTAGATCAGATCGTAATCCGTCAGCAGGAACTCCAGCGTGGCCTCCTCCTGACCCGGAGTATAGACTGATGGACCGAGAGAGAGCGTGTGAGGACAGGAAGTGACATCATCAGTCAGAATGTGTGTGTGTGTGTGACGCTCACTCACTCTTCTCCAGGGTTTTGTGCAGGTTGGACAGAGAGTTCAGCAGGATCTTCCCATGTTTCCTCGGCAAAGACCTCCAGGACAGAGGCTTCTTATCTTCAGACCTGGAGACAAAAAAAAGACGTCTCTTCTGCTTTATTGGTTCAAAAATACAGTAAAATTGTGAAATATTATTGATCTGCTACTTAAGCTTTTTATTATTATTCTTCTTAGACTAAATTTCTGAACGCTCCTCCTCCTAGAGCTTTCAAGCTAGAACCACCAAACTCAGCCCAGCTCTTCAGACTGATCTGACCCGGGTTGCTATATCTTTTCTAACTGATCCGAATTATGGTTTTCATAAAACTGAAGATTAAATATCATAAAAATCCCATAGACTTACATTGACGGAATGTTCAGATGAGCCAAGACTATTCAAACTCCAACTGTCAAAATTCAAATCTAAACACACTGAAGTCCATTAGACTCAATCAGACTTCTCTTCTATGTACTATTTTTAACCCATTCAAACTCATCTAATATTTCTAATCTATCTATCTATCCTAGCGACGTGTTAATCATGCTAGAAACATACTAACAACATACTAGTAGCATAGTAATCATGCTAGCAACATGCTAGTAACCTGCTAGAAACATGCTAGCGACATGCTAGTCACTTGCTAATCATGCTAGCAACATGATAGTAACCTGATAGAAACATGCTAGCGACATGCTAGTCACTTGTCAATCATGCTTAGCAACATGCTAGTAACATGCTAATCATGCCAGCAATATGCTAGTAACATGCTAATCATGCTAGAAACATGTTATCAACATCTATCTAATCTATCTAAATTTTTCAACCTAAAGTTTGTCTTGACGAACTTTTTTTTATCTAGTTATAATTTAAAACTAGAATTAAAACAAAAAAAATTTCTATGTGAATATCTGTTAAACTGTAATTTATTTCTGTGATGCGCAGCTGTATTTTCAGCATCATTACTCCAGTCTTCAGTGTCACACGATCCTTCAGAAATCATTCTAATATGCTGATTTGCTGCTCGAGAAACATTTCTGATTATTATCAATGTTGAAAACAGTTGTGCTGCACAATATTTTTGTGGAAACCATGATGCATTTTATGTTTCAGGATGCACAGATGAACAGAAAGTTCAAAAGAGCAGCATTTATTTGAAATCCTGGCAGCCGACAGGAAGACTCACTGGAAGATGGTGTTGGTGTCCAGATCCACACACACCACGTCAGTCGGCGGATCGTAAAGCTCGAAGTAGCTGGAGTGGACGCCCACGATGAAGGGCATGGGCGCGCACAACACATCTGCCATCCGCAGCGGACACAGCGGGATATACGGACAGTGCCAGCGCAGAGGAAACGGCATCTGACACAGGAAACGACCGTCACATGACCGGCAGAGACAGGAAGTCACACACTGTTACTCAGGGCTGCACCGTAATGTTTTAACGGTTCATCACAATAATTTTGCTCAAAAATCACAATTACTAATCACAAATAGTCATGTGCAACAAAGACTGGCAGAATTACAAAATATCTCAATAGAGATGGATAAACTCAAGCGTTCCTGTTTTCTGGTGTTTTCAGCTTATTTTGTACTCTTATGTATTTGCAGTGAAATTATTTTATTTTTCTACACAAAAAAGTCAAAATTTAAACTCAATTCATTTTTATTTGAATTAAAATCAGTTTTCATTAATTCTTAGTTTAATTTTAATTATAAAACATTTATTATTAAGAACCTTTACTTGTTTTTGTTTTTTACATTTTTAAAAATGTGATTTCTAGACTTAGAATAATAAATTCCAAAATAAACAAAATATTAAAAATTCATGAAAGTTTCTTATTCATTTGCTTATTGTAAGAAAAATTAAAAAAAGTCAAAATTTAAACTCAATTCATTTTTATTTGAATTAAAATCAGTTTTCATTAATTCTTAGTTTCATTTTAATTATAAAACATTTATTATTAAGAACCTTTATTATTATTTTTTTTTTACATTTTTAAAAATGTGATTTCTAAACTTAAAATAATAAATTCCAAAATAAACAAAATATTAAAAATTCATGAAAGTTTCTTATTCATTTGCTTATTGTAAGAAAAATTAATTTCAAATTGATCAACTGGATTAAAACATAAAAAAAAAAAATTTAAACTTATTTTAATTATTCTTATTAATTTATTCTTACTTTAATTTTTAACTAATTTTTTAAATTATTTTAACAACAACTGTGATTTTTATTTAAACCTTGCCATTTTAAAAAATATATGATTTCTAGACCTAAAATAATAAATATAAAATTAAACAAAAGTCATGGAAGTTTCTTGTTCATTTGCTTATTGTGAGTAAAAAATATTTTAATCTAATTAGATTAAAATTATATTAACACACACACTCTCTCACACACACACACACACACACACACACACACACACACACACATGACAGACGGATGGTAGAGAAATATAATTAGGGAAGACAAATAGATCTGAGGCGGAAAAGATAAACATGGTTGTCTAAAAGAGAGAAGAACATAAAGATTAAATGGATGCTGAGCCAGAGTTTCAACTTATGAAGTAGAGAGAAGGAATTGAGGGGTTTGTGCAGATAAAGTCATATATAAAAAGCGATAGAGAAAGTCATTCATCCATATGAAATAAATGTTCCTCTGATATCTGAAAAGGTCAGCGTGTTTACTCACACCACGACGGCCACATCCCTCTTAGGTCATCTCGCTCTCTTTTCACTCTCTCAGACTCACTCTCTCTCTCACACACACACACACACACTCTCTCCCTCTCTCACAATTCAAGTTTTAAAATTTCAGATATTTCAAATATTTTTTAAATCCTAATCTAGTAATCATGATCAACTGGATGATCAACTTGGTCAAAAAGAGCAAGAACCCTAAGAAAAATTCAGTTCTTCAAACTTCTGGAATCACAAAATTAACTGCTTTTAATTATTCTACCCTACTGACAGTCTGAGTTTCAGTAAATAAAATAGCAGCTTCTCAGCTGAAGCATATAAATGAGTCCTGCTTACATCAGTGTTTTCAGCTCATCTGTGCTTTTTCTGTAATGTAGAAAGAGTGTGTGCAAACGAAATAAAATGTATCGATTCAAGAAAAAAGCTCTGATTGGGGGATTTAAACTCTTGAGATCTGGCAACCGCAACAATAAAAGCTTGTGGATTGTTACCAATGCAAGACAACGCAAATTACAAATTAAAATGAAACACTTTTCGGAATAAACAACCAGCGCAGATGATTATGCTTCATAAATCAAGAGAATCAGAAATCGTGATCAGGATTAAATATGAATCATGGTGCAGCTCTGAATTAATCTGAATGATGACACTGCTGTCTTTAGAGCATCACTGATTCTCTTCTTGTCGAGCTGCTCTGAATCAGTCTGTGTTGTGTGAAGCGCTGCAGAGATGGATGTGATGTGTGCTGGACTCACGGACACGAGCGCTTCGCTGACGGACGTCAGAACATCGGGCCGCAGCGAGTGCAGCAGCAGCTTGTGTTCGGTCAGAACCGCCAGCAGCAGCGAACACGCGTTCTCAGGACCCAGATTCTGCAGCAGCTTCACAAAACTGGCACCACTGGACACAGAGCATCAGCCAATCAGAGCACAGAGCGCAGAACATCAGCCAATCAGAGCACAGACGCAGCAGCCAATCAGATCATCAGCGTAAGAACTCACCTGAGCGGCAGCGGAGACGACACGGGCTGACAGAGCAACATATTATCATACGAAGAGAGCTGAGGACACACAAACACACAGTTAATACACACACACACACACACACACACACTCTCTCTCTCTCTCTC